CAGTTGGTAGTGCCTTATAAGCTAAGTGAACCCCGTTCACGAAGACAGGGCTCGAGAAAGGTTAAGTGTATAAAACGTCCCTATTCCACTTGTATCAAGTTTACATTATTAATTTATTATTAATTATCCCTTCCCGCTTGGAAAAGACTCATAATATATTTACACAAAATACCCGATACACGGGCTTCGCTCTCCTACATTTATTTAAAAAAAATGTAGGCGAGGCGCGCACAACCATGTTGATGCACTCCCCCGTAGGGAACGCTAATTCGTGAACTGGACCGTAGTCCACAGCAAAATAATTGGCGAACCAGTAAAAGAGTCTTGGCTCCTTGTTAGTGCGTAAGCACAAACATCGGCCGAAGTCGCGCATTTCAATGCGTGTAAACGCCATAAAGCATACGAACGAATCCAGCCACAGTGAATATACGTCACACGGTTTAGGCAAATAGGCACACTGGCCGTAAACCCTCCGTGAGCGCCACGACCTACCAGACCGCCGCTCCTGCAGATGTGATGTAAGTGTATGGCATCACCACCGATTGCATGATCAGCACGGCTACTAGCCGCAGAGCGTGTCATGACTCATGAGTCTACCGCTCACCTCAAGGGAATGGGGTCCCACGTTGTGCGGCTTTCGGCAGCAGCCTTGAGAGTCTCCTCAGATCCTCCCGCCAGCTACCACCCGCATGAGGTCAACACATATGCTCCACCAACCAACACAACGGCAGATATAGCCAAAAGGCAGTTATAAGATAAGAGTAATAATTCGCCATCGGAAAGGTTTGTGTCACTGACGTTGAGTAAATGCATTTTCGATCATGTTTGCCTCGCCCACACAAGTTGCCTTCAATCATTCAAAGGTGGGAAAGTTACAGAGATATATTATTATGTTGTTATATAAAACATCATGGAGGTCAGACTGTCTGCAGCCCCGTAATGAAGGACTTGGGCAAGGCTACTTAGGTGTGAGTCAAACCAAGACGCAGAGAGCGACATTGAGAATACCACCAAACAACCATCGCAGAGACGCAATGTTACAGAACGCAACAAGCATCAATACGACTATCGTCGGGCTTACACCATCCCAAGGTCACCCATACATCCCAGCAGACATCACCACCCGCATACCTCCATCGATCAGAACCACAGATCCATCACAAGACGCAATACTGCAAGAAGCAGTAAGCATCAATGCAACTATCATACGGGCGGCGCCCACTCAAAACACACCCCCATGATCCCTATCGACTTTGGTAACAAAGTTTGTATTGTTGTTAACTAAAAACTGCACCAACGTATCATAGTAGCACGCTACTAAGATGCCAGTGGACAACTCCACGTATCGTAGTGCTAATGCACTAAGATATGAAGTTCAGTATGCTGGTTACACTTAAAAGTGCTACTAAACACACTCATCCCAATCCGAAAGATAGACGACGCATCGCTATGCGCTACGACGTCGCCCACAAACGGTATGGGTGTGCGATGTCCACGGGAAAGCCGTATTGCTACAACAAACCCGCTTACCACCGGCACTAAGATGATATGTCTAGGACACATCGGTTAGCGAGTCCAAGTTTACCTCGGACCAATTGCTCGTGAAGCAGCATACACGCCACCATACTATTCCTTTTCAAGTCCCTAATAAGGACTAGTCATTTTGCTACAGTACTAAAAGCAGTCGGTCACCCGATATAATCCTTATGCATCAGGGAGACCTTCTATAATATTGCTTTTGTATCATAGACCTTACTTTCATAAGTCATTTCTATATAGGACTCGAACCAGACCCTACTATTGTAATGCAATTCTAGAGACCTTCTATAGTAATGCTTTTGTATCATAGACTTACTTTCTATTATATATAGGACTCGAACCCACGACCCTACTATTGTAATGCAAATTCACCATAGAGACCTTCTATAGTATTGCTTTTTTATCATAGACCCAACTTTCATAAAGCATTAATATATAGGTCTTAAACCCACGACCCTACTATTGTAATGCATATTCATCACAGAGACCTGCTATAGTATTGCTTTTGTATAATTATGTTTACTATCATAAGTCCCTAATATAGGACTAGTCATTACTACAGTACTTCAAGCAGCCACCCCATATATATGTACAACTGCGGGTATGTATCTCCGGCAGCTCCTCCATACAAGACATCTATACATGAACTCCTTCCATGACAATTTTAACAAATTTTCTAATTATCTTATAAATGTTATTTATCTTTATTTTTATAATATTTTCGACTTGTATTTATATTATTTATCATATTTTGAAATATTTTACAAGTTTTTAAATAAATTTATTATGTAAGACAATATTTTGCCTTTTATTTACTATGTTATTTGTCTAATGTCTGAAATGTATTTATATTAACTTTATGCTTATTAATGTAATTTTATTGCTTAATATATATATATATTTTAAGACTATTTTTGATGCCCCTTTATATTGAATTTAATTATTAATAATAATATTGGGCCGTCACAATATGTCCCAAGCATGGACTTAGAATATAAGTAGTGTCCGTATACAAAGTCTTTGCCATTACGTGTCTTTTAATTCATTGTGTGAAATATCAATATGAATCATTTAATTTATAAATTACTGAATAACCGTAATATAACATTGTATTAATTCATTGCAGCGTATAAAAGTCCACTGCTGAACATAAGCCTCCCCCACTGATTGCCTCATAGGCGGGAGTTGTCACAGGTAGTTAGGTTGCCAACTGCAGTTTTTTAATAATGCAGAGTTGTTATCAGGAAAATGCTGCAACCCATATCTGTTTCAATTTAATCTTCACCTCTTACTATACTACACCTACGGATGATATGCGTAGCGGATAATTTGACACCACTACACTGTTGAGTTATAAGATTTTAAGATTGGTATATTATCAGTACTTCGAAACAACGATGCATTTTGTTATAATAATAATAGTAATGCCAATTACATTACCAACATTTCTGTTAACAATTCGATATTCTGAACACTGGGTCACACGGTTGTGTTGAAGGTGGATGTTGAAGTAACTAAACCGTTGATTGTTTGTCAGGATATCTAAGGTAAGATAATAATAAGTTTTTATTAAAATGTCTATCAGTTGACCTTCAACAACATTTACCGTGTGCTCTACAGTGAAAGAAAACATTGTTGAGAAACTATTTTTACTGGGTAAAAAATTTTCAAATATTAGTGTAGACAGTAGCTTTAGGTGCGGCTAGGCTTAGAATATACTGGCGTAAGTATATTCTAAGTCTATGGTCCCAAGTCGTTCTCCTAACGGTTACAAATTTTGAATTTTCGTATAATGAAGTACTCTGTAATTAAAATGAATAAAAACTTATTTTGAGATTTTTTTAAACAACCCCTTTAAATTTGTATAGAAAAAAAAACATATATTTTCAATTTAAAAATTGATGCATGTACTTTTCAATTAAAATAATAAAATAAATATTTTTTCTTTTCCCAAAATCTACCCGGTTTTAAAACGTGGGTTCAAGTTGTACATTAAAAATATTAATATGACACACAGCTCGAACTACTGGTCGTAGAAGCATAAAATGGTGACAATATATTCTTTTATTACGTATTAGCTATGGTCCGTATTAATAAACGTTCCACATCGACGAACTCAAGTTCATAATCATTTAATATCATTGCTAATTAATAAATATATACGTCTATAAAATACTGATTTGATCGAGAGTAAACGTTTTACTCTAGCAAAGCGTCGTATCTGTAGTAGCGTGGCAACCGTTGTTTTATACAGGATTTGGGAAAAAGTCATTTGTTAGTTGACTACGAGTGAGCGAGAAGATTACTAGAGTTAAAGTTCTTTGTTTTGTAATGAGCGAACGTTGTCTTCGACAATCTAACACTAATTTTGTTGTGTGTGTAAACGAGATATTCCATATTAATCCTCAAGACTAACTATGCTACAGCATCTACTTACTGTTAAGGTAGATTAATATTGAATTTACTACTAAAATATTTATCAATAAAATTATAATTATTATAAGTATTAAATTTTGTAAAAAGAACGTTAGCATCTACTGAGAAAGGATTTTGAAAAATTCAACTCTTTAGGGGGTGAAAAATTATGTTACAATTTGTATTTAATTTCTTATTTTACGGGGCGATTTCATGTTTTTATACTTAAAAATTATTAAATGATTTACTCGTATGTAACTTGAATTATTTTAATCGCTGCTCTAATACTCTTTAAATTCCGCTGTTGGCCCCCTCCCCGCACATAGGGAATAAAACTGTAAAGATTTTTTTTTAAATAGTATTTTTATATTAACTACTATTTCAATTAATTTTTGGTCTTTTTACATATAAATTACTGCTAAGTCTACATAAATCAGTCTCTTTTATATAATGAACAAACAAAAATATAATAATTATTATCCTAAGTACTATTATCTTCAAAATAAAAAGTGATTCAACAAAAATCAATACTTAAATGATATAGTAAATAAAACCGAACCGAATTAAAATTAACCCGTCACTTGTTGTAATGATGTAGTTTTTTAATCCGAGTGGACTCGGTTTATTCTTTACAAAGACTCGCAATTTACGTTTCCCTGTGAAAAGTTTAATATTTTCATCGATTGAGTATTCACCTGCCACCTGCCTTTTGAGTGACAAGCAAGCCTTCTTAACAGCGTCGAGAATGGGCTATACCTTCCACAGCGGATTTGAATTTCCTGAAGGTGGTTCATCTGTGGGCACTACGCGCATGTTATTCCTTAATAAGAAATAATGGTCTCTTGGCATTTGACTAGTGATTGTTCCAGGCGATACCTGTACGCCAGTACATAATATTAATTCATGTGTATATATATATATATATATATATATATATATATATATATATATATATATATATATATATATATATATATATAGCCCACCAATAAAAGTATAACAAATAATTTGCGCAACTCTTGAAGGGTTGTACTTAAGAACGAGTTTTACACAGGTAGAACAAAATTGTGCAGTGTGCGATGTTTTTGAACAAAATCTTCATTAAAATATATAGAAAAATATTGCAGCATTTCAGAGGGTTCAGGTTGAGAAGGAAAATTATGCTCTACATCAGTATAAGTAATAGCTTTCCAGATTCTTGGTCTTTTTTGTGCCTGATGACTATTAGGCATTTCGAGGTGGCAGGAGTTTGCAGGTGGGGGTAAGTTGTCTTGATTTCTGTACTGTAGCTCTGTAAAAGTCATATTTTGATCTGAGTCACTTTCGCTGTTATGGTTACCTGGTGGAATCTCTGAGGGTATATCATCTGCATCATCTAGTAGTCGAGGTACATTGACAGCCGATTCTGTCTCCTCATTCGATATGCCCAGGTCTGACTGACACCCATCTCCAAGCACATCTTGTAACAACTCGTAGTTTAGAGGTTATCCTGAGAAAAAAATGCAAGGTTATTGGTATGAACATTTAACTTTAGGGAAAACAATTAAAAACGACAACGCACGATCGTGCGTTTAAATTTCGCGGGCCGGTTACCATAGTTATAACTTATAAAGTTGATAGGATTATTTAACATTACTGTACGTGAACATTAAAATTAACAATTTTGATATGAAAAATAATAAATATGATAAGTTATATTGAAAAATAATTTACTTACGTCGACCGTCGCGATCTACAAAGTGAACGTCCATCTTCACGTCACGATGCGCCACTAATATGCTCTACCCCCACACAACCCTTCGCATTATACGGCGAAATCAACGCACAAACGATCGAAGTCGTTTTCACACGGTAAAATAAAATTTAGTAATCAGTACAATTTTTTAAACATCAACGCACGATGAGTACAAGCCGTTCTGAAAGGGTTAAAGCTAGTCTAAATTATGTCTATACAAAAATTCACTAAATACTATAGTCTGTCGCTGGATTTATAAATGCAGAAACTTTTTTAAATTAACAAAACTTACTATAGATCGACGGTCCCTAAGTAGTATAATGCCACGAGTTTCACTTGTGTGATTAGCGATTTTTTGTTTTGTGACCATCCTGAGGCGGTAATCTATCGTCTGGTAAAATATTTAAAGGCACTTCGTTCACTACAGGTGGGTTTTCTATCGTATTCTCTAACACGTGGGTCTACGGGCAAGGGGTGATCTCTTTTCCAAAAGTAAAATAGTGTGTTGCGTAATTCATTGATTGGCCATAGACAAGGTTGAACTGGCTAAGTTTGAGGTGCTGTGGTGCCGTTTTTTTCGACGCACCGTCTTATTATTTTTTCAAATGAGTAATTTACATAATTTTTGACCACGACAAATCCCTAAATTACAAAATTCATTTAATTCTCCGGCGCAAAATAACGTTTATATCAAGAATGATATGTCGGTATATCACATAATAACAGTACTCCGTGCATAGCATGTGTCACTTACTGCCAAGATCTCAATATAGTAAGCGTATCAGCGAGGGTCATTTTGTACGCCTCATAAAGTGAAGCGTTATTCTTGTATATATGGAGGTCAGTGGTTATTAGGGAGTGATTTACTCTCGGCATGTCAAGGTCAAGCAATTTTTTGTTCTTAAAATGCCTCTATCATAACCATATTGGAATTATACGGCAATATGAGTAGCCGTATAAAAAGAAAACACTCTAATTAATCCATTTTATATTTTCGAAAAAATCGTTTTATATTGCTACTTTGAAATTCGAAAACGGTTTGGAAAACTTTTTACGTAAACGCCCAGGTGGTAACTTTATATGTGGCCACCATAACTACCGAACAATTTGACGTATCGAGACCGGGTTTTTTTATTAGCCTCAGAATTAAAGCGTTTCTACACGGTCGGGACCAACCAGCAACCGTCGTGATCTTGGTCGGGTCAACCGGATTTTGTATTCGTTCTACACGGTCGGGTGGTTGGCTCAACTTGTCAGTTGTCTCTGGTATTTAAAGAGTAAAGTCGCAAGATAGTTAATTTTAAAAATGGGTCCTTGATTTTCTAAACAACAAAACATCAGTTTAGCTTTAACGTTTATACGATTGAGTGAAGATGAAAAAAAGAAAATGGATGAAATTGTGACTGAAAGAGCACATTACTGTAAACAAACATGACATGGTACTTTAAGACATGGTAAATCACAGTACAGTGACAAGAATTCGGTCAGGACCTCACGTTCTTTGTTTCTGTTCGTATCCACAATGCCGTCAAACATTCGCCTGCGACGACTGCAAAGCGCGCACCACAGAGTACCTTTGTATAAACTGTAACTGAGGCGCTCTCGTCGGCCGACAGCTTTCCACACGGTCGGCATCAACCACGGACCTGACGTGTCGTGAGCGATGCGCTCGCGACCAAGGCCGTCAGACGTCAACCAAAATATTGGTCAGACAACCGATGTCTACACTGTCCATTTTTACATCAACTCGACCAAGGTCACGACGGTTGGTGGTTGGTGCCGACCGTGTAGAAGGCCTATTACATCAACTGGTTCCCTATTTTATATCAATAACCCAGTACGCGTAGTTGGTCAATATAATTACTTTCAACTTTTATAAGTTTTAATGATATTATAAATTTAAAGCCACTTTCATATATTTTTTTGCCCGGAAAAAATGTACCATACAGCCTATGTCGATTTTATATTTTGTGTAATCGATTTATTTTGGTGAACATTATTAAGCATTTTCCCTGTAGGTGTCACTACCTGTTAAAATAATAGAGCTAAAACAAGTTAATAATATATTTAAGTCATGAATACACTTTATTTTTTTAACAAAATGAATGAAACGTCCAAGAGGCGTGTACTTTGGATTTTCTAAATATTTAATAGATCGTCTTAGCACAAGAATAAGTTATTAATGAAATAATAACATGTTTGGAGTGTAATATAAAGCAATTCTAAAAACCTAAGTGAATAATAGCGTTACTATGACACGAAAATCGAAAGGGGTTTTACAGGGTAAGCGTATTTTTGGCAATTTTAACAAAATTTTGTTGTTAGTAACTATTTTACGAAATTTTTAAGCTATTTTTGTCTGTCAGTAATCTTATAGCTTTTTTCATAGAATAAGTATGACAAACGAGCAAATAGTCCACCTGATGGGAAGTGGATGCTGAGGTCCATATACATGTATATTTATCCTCGATTAAGAATTAAAATACAGATGCGTTGTCTCCCCTGACATTAAGGTAGAATGCCTCATTTCCGGTGGTAATAAGGGTCTCCGGTTCTTTACATTCACCACATGTTGTAAGATGCAACTAATATATCTGCAGCGTGGTTTTACCACGTATATAGTACGAGTTTATATTTATTTGAAAAAAAAACACATATTTTCCATGTAATTATTCGCATATAGCAGTTACATAGTTTTACGTGGGAAAGTTGGTAGTTATTCAAATAGTGAATGGCAGGTCCTTAATTTTACGTAGAAAATTGAGCGATGCTTAGTATATTAGGTGTTAGTAACTTAATTGGAAAATGATTTTTCACTTAGTGGAAGTTACGTGGTTGTTCATCGGAAATAAGATCTTATCTCCAAATATAGTGGCAGTTACTAAATTTTTTTTCAGGCTTAACGAGAACATTTAATAAGTTTAATCCACTGATTACGTTTTTTTAACTGTCTCGTTGACCTAGTGATGGTAAGCGCGACTGCTGTTGTGTGTTTCGAATCTCGGGTCGGACCAAAACCGATTATTGGACTTTCAACCAAAAAAAAAATATACTCAAAATTAGCCCGGTATCAGGTTACGAAGCATCGGATTGTCATCTCAAAATACTGTGAAAGGAACGAAATCAAGAGTGCACATGTCCTTGCGCATGAAATTGTACACCGTAATATTGTCCTTCCCGGAGCGAGGATCTTTAAAGGATAAAAATAAGGATAGTATGCAAATTGTTTTGTAGGGCCACAAAACAAGACGGAAGGAAAAGAAACAAGTAACTTCATCAATAAAATAATCCCAACAATCCTATTGAATGTATGTATTTGATTGTTCTGTATTTCAGAATGTTCAACAATAATTGGTTAAATAAGGTAATTTACACAACTGAGCAGTGGTTTGCTTTAGGTGGACGAGGATGTTAATGAAACTGGTAAAGTTAATAATAAATAAATGTTTTTATTTAAAAAAATATTTTATGTTAAAAACTCGGCTAAAATGACAGTAATTAGAAAATTTACTAATACAAAAAAAAAGAAAAGAAAATATACTATATCTAATCCAAGACCGACTTTTAGATTACTGGTAGTATTTATAAATCACAATTGCTACCCTGAAAATCTACCATTTCCCATATACGACTTGAAATATCCGTGTGATTATAATATATTTCCGAGATCGAATATCTCAGCCTTTTTATATCATTTTACCAAAGAGATCTCTTTGATTCGGAAAATTATAAAGAAAAGTAATGAAGTTTGTTATTTTCCTATTTCTTTGTTAAAAGTTTTTTTCATGAATGATTTTATAATATTATATTATTATTATATTTATACTGAATTATTATATTTATACTGAAGTGATAAAACAACTAAAGTTTAAAAAAATACTACCCCATGAAAATTAAAACATTTTATGTTAAACTAGATAACAGAGCTTTTGTTAAATATTATTCTAGACAAGCAACCTGCCGCGGCTTCGCAGGGGTAATATCTGGATTCTACAATAGCACCACCTACCGCTTCTAACTATGCCTACAACCTTTGCTGAAATGCAAGCAATATGTTGACAAAGTTTTAACGCAATCCGATGTGAACGCTATGGCAATGCATAAATACGAAAAAACAAATATTATTTTTTATGTACACTAGATAACAAACAAATAATTGTGGCTATAACAAAACCCTTTATAAATCATCATTTTCAGATAATGAAGTTTTATGTTATTTTTAAACTTACTGGAAAGGCAATAAAGTTAAATATCAACTGATGAACTGTAATTAAAACCTGCAATAGCTTATCAATGTAAATATCAGTATGTGGTAGATAGAACATTTTGTAAAATGTAGAATTTGACGTAAAATCCATTAAATATCGCTTAGGTTGTTTAACATTATTGTTTTTCAGATATATACGAAGCAGAAAAATTAAGTGTTTCCATACGAGAAAATCACAAATTTCTATGAACAGATTGTTTTGAATTTTAAATTTAAATAGCATGACATATTTCAGTTTTATTGCTTAAGTATTTTTCATTATAATGAGTTTTAAGCTTTCAAATCGCTCTCCTGTAAATTTTGCGTTTTGCATTTACGGAATTATACATAGCCATCGAGATTTGTCTGTCCAACAAAATATCTGAGATACTCTCAAGGCATGCCTTAAAAAGTTTAACTTCAAAAATGGTTGTAGACGTATTTTTCGGTTAAACATCAAATACCGACATAGTCAAAAAAATTTTTTAGCGCAATTTTCATGGAAGCTTCTTTTATAATTTTTTCCTTTGTAACTTTAAAGTTTATTTGTTGCTTTTTTCATTCTTATTTATTATAAAACTTTATTTTAATATATTCGAAATAAGACAAAAGTGAACCACACATATTACAAAATAGATCGGGGAAAAAGTTTCTTCGTATTTTGTTTGTGTAAAATTGAAGAAAAATCTCTTTGGCTGTGCTGTATGTACCTGGCTGGTTTTAATATCAATACAAATAGGATATTAAGAAAAATAAAAAATAAAAAACGATTTCCCTCAATTTTTCATTGTTTTTCTGTCAGCCACACTGAGTGAACCTAACGAATAAATTCCTTACTTTATTTATTTATTTATTTATTTTATTCTTTATTGCACCAAAGATTTTGTACAAAAGGCGAGCTTAATGCTATATGGCATTCTCTACTTGCTAACCTTGGGTAGAACAGAGAGTGAGTTATGGGCAGTAAAGATGTCATGATCTCATTCAATTCAAAATGTACATGCTACACATACATATAATATATATATATACACATATATATTATGTACACTTACACACACATACATATGTATATACATATATACATACATATATACATACACATATACATATATAAATATATATCTCCATAAATTTATATACAAATAACTATAAACATAAAGTAAGTGGACTCAAATTTGTTGGTTACGGATATATTCGTATAGTTTTCTTTTAAACACGTTTTTAGCAGGTATTATGCGCAGGTCAACAGGCAATTTGTTCCAGAGGGAGATGGAAGTTAATGTGAAAGAATTTGACATAAACCCAGAATGGTGGAGAGGAGTAGACAGTAATAAATTGTGTGAAGACCGGAGATTGAGAGAATGAGTGTCACTACGGAATTGGAATCTTTCTTTTAGGTAAAGGGGTGAGGAAGAATCATTAAGAACTGAAAACAGAGAGGACAGCATTCGAAAATCTCTGCGCTGGCGTATAGTCAACCACTTTAATTGGGAGCGAAATTCTGATACGTGATCGTATTTGCGCAGACCAAAGATGAATCGTATGCAGTTGTTAAGTAACCTGTCCAACCTGCTTAGCAGCTCCTGAGAGATATTAGAAAGACAAACACCGGCATAGTCAAATAATGGAAGAATTAGAGATTGGATGAGTAGAAGCTTACTTGAAGGAGGCAGAAAGAACTTAAGACGATAGATGGAACGAAGTATGCCTGTGACTTTACGACAAATCTCGGACGCCTGTAACCTCCAACTAAGGGTCGGGTCAATAATTAAACCCAGATCCTTGACACTAGCGCGGAAAGGAATTACACAGTTTTCATAGCAAATGGATGGTAGATCAGATATGTTAAGTTGTGACACCAATCGACGACTACCAATGATAATAGCCTGGCATTTACTGTTATTTACCGTTATACCAAATCGCTGCGACCAGTCTGAAATGCGTTGTAAGTCCTGATTAATAGCTGCAATGGTGGTAGCAATTTCAACCGAGGACGCTTGTGAGTATAACTGAAGATCGTCAGCGTATAGGTGGTAAGAACATTGAAGGTGGGTAGTTAGAAGATTGATAAACAACGAAAACAAGAGAGGAGAGAGAATTACGCCTTGCGGTACACCTAGATATAGATCGCACCAGTCGGAAAAATCCTGACCAGCCCGAACAGCCTGCTGGCGACCGCGAAGATAAGAGGAAAACCAGTTCAGTACTGACGGGGAGAAGTTTAGGCGTGAAAGTAATCCAAGGAGTAAGTCGTGATCGACACAATTAAATGCGTTTGAAAAGTTAATAAGGACCAGAACAGTCAAACATGACCTCTCCATGCCCTCTCTAAAATCTTCTGTAACTTGAAGTAAAGCTGTGGTGGTACTATGTCCCGGGCGGAAGCCAGATTGATATGTACTAAGGCATTCGAAATGAAAGAGGTGACTTGTTTGTGTACCAATGATTCAAGGGCTTTGGAAAGAAACGACAGTATAGAAATAGGTCTAAAATGGGAGGGTAGGGATGGATTGGGTACCTTCGCAAGAGGCAAGATAAAAGCTTTTAGCCATAACTTAGGGAAAATACCAGTAGAGAGGGAGAAATTGATGATGTGAGTGAGAACTGGAGTAACAATATCGAGTATGAGAAGTATCATAGGTCTACTCACCTCATCATATCCGGTTGCGGAAGATTTTATTAAAAGTATGGCTTTTCTAGTATCATCGTCAGTCACTGAACTGAAGTCGAAAGAATTACATGATAACAAGGGCATGGAATTAAGTTCCTGGAGAGTCGTAGCTTTGGTGGTCAAATGCAGACGTGATGCAGAATAGAAGTGTATATTCAAGTCATTGAGTGAAATATTTGGGATTAGAGAATTGGAATGTGATTTTCCAAATCCCAGGGATTTAAGGAACTTCCATATATCTGCAGAAGAGGAGTTTGAAATACTATTGTGGAAGTAGCGGCGTTTGGCTGTTCTTACCACCTGATTACAACGGTTTCGTGCTCGCTTATATTGTTGAAATGTGGTACTGTTCCGATTCTTTTTAAAAATGTGAAAAGCTCGATCTCTTCTTCTCATTGCTCTACGCACTTCGTCAGTTATCCACGGTGCAGGAGGTCGGCGTAACCTGACTGCTCGAACTGGTGCGTGCCTATCGAACAGGTTGAGAATTTGGGTGTTCAAATGAGCAATTTTGTCTTCCATATTATTTGCATCCAGCAATGGGCCCCATTCTATATTCTTAGCATCGCGGTGTAGTCGAATGGTGTCAATTTTATTGAAATTGCGTAAATACACAATCACTGGCTTTGGCTTGGGAGGCTTTAATTTATACGACATGACCAAAAGATCGTGTCGAGAAAACGCGGGAACAGCCAGTTGATCATGATATAAAACATGATCCGCTGAACTAGTGCAAATGATGACTAACCATGAATCTTCGGTGTCCACGTTGTGGTGAGTTGGACTAGATGGTAGAATATAGAGATCTGCCGAGTCCATGATGGCTTTAAATTTGCGACTCTGAGGAGAATCCTTTAGCAAGTTGGTATTGAAATCACCCATTATTATAATATGTTTGTTATCAGTGCTGATGGAGTCGATTACCGATTCAATATGGGAAAAATAATCAGTTGAAGGAGGGCAGTAAACAACTCCGAGCACGACCCTCAAACCCTTAATTTTTACTTCTAGAAATAGGTACTCAGCAGATCCTCTATATTCAGATGGTTATATTGCAATGACATCATATGCATATTCCGATCGCAAGTAAATGGCTACGCCACCTCCACCTTTGCCAGTGCGATCAGAACGTATAAGTACAAATCCAGGAAGACTGTACAACGTGGAGGATAGGGAGGGTTTTAGCCAGGACTTTGAGATAAGTAGAGAATGGATGTATGGTGAGGAAAATATGTTAAGTAGATCTGAGTAATGGGCAGGGATGCTTTGCGCATTTATATGGCATACATTTAAACAATTTGTAGAGGCAAATTTCGTGTGCAAATAATTACCCTCGTTATCGATAAAAGAATCGTCTGCGGGTGAGGTAACGTTAAAAGAAGAACATGCAGAATAAAATGAGTCTTCATCCGATGACATTTAATCTATTGTTAATAATAATAGCAAAAAATAAATATATAGGGTATATGTAATAATAAATAATGTTGCATAATATATATGTATACCTATATATGTAATAAATTTTATATATACTAAATACTATATTTATGAATATAAATATTAAAATAATGAAACTATTATGAAATATAAAAAAGTTAATTAATCACTATTTGTTTTACCTGCCGGTCTGCCTTAAAAATTATTAATCAAGTTTACATATAAAAAGAAGATTAGCACAAATGTTTTAAACAGTCCAATGAAATAGCAATGATGTCTTACTCATATTTCACTTGGTCAAATTAAAAGATAATTAATGTTGTGCTCATCTTCTATACAACAAAGGACAATAGAAAGACATATATTATAATGTTAATGACTAACTTAAGTGAGCGAAAACACAATTATAAGTAAGGCCGTGATCGTTTACTATTTTACATTTATACAAGACACAAGAGTATATTGTACATTTAATTTAAAATATAATAATTATGAAAAGATTAAACTGAGAATAAAACGCTACCATTGAATACAATCTAATGGTTAAGATACGAAAATTATATACAAATGAAATGAAGACATGGTTTAAAAACCAAGAATCCAGGCCAATGTCTTAATAAAAATAATTGTATGATATTGACGTTTGACTATAACATAGATAGTATCCTCTTAGTAGTCTGTGAACATAAATTGCTATGATAAATTGTTTACCTACCTAGTGTATTTCGTACCAAATATGTACTACAATAATATTTCATACGGTGAAAGTAAAATTAGAGCTTACTGTCAGCACCAAAATCATAAAATGAAATCGAAAAAGTTATAAATACAGCAAGAATGATGCTGATCGTAAAGTGCAATGCCATTATGTACAGACTAGGAAACAATTACGATAAATCACAACTTCTTACTGATTGCACGCTTCGAAGTAGTTGTTGACCTGGATTTAGATCCTTCTTTTTTGGGAATGACATCTGAGGCTGGAAGCGAGGTAGCCTGTTCTACGTCAGCTTTGTGTTTGGTTGTCAGCTTCTCTAGATCATTTGTTGTAAACACTTTGTAACGGGATCCAGTAGGAAGCTTGACATTGATCACCCCGTCCAAGGTCCACACATTCCTAATGCCGAAGTGCCTGCGGGCCTCTAAGAATAAAGACTGCCTCATTCGTGTTAGATATTCTGACAACACATATGGGCTACCCTTGAGCAAAGCCTTCTTGGCCCATACCTCCCGACGTAATGGAGCATCCTCAAATTTTATGAGAATCGGACGAGGGCGGCCATTAGATATTGTGCCAAGACGATGACATACTTGCAGCGACTGACTAGAACAATTTTTGATACCAAGATTCTTCGTGATGACTGAAGCTACCAATTCGCGGACATTCTCATTGGTATTCTCGACCACTCCTCCCAGCAGCAGAAACTTCTTTCTGTGTCTACTTTCAATGGCATCCACATTAACAATTAGATGGTTAATTTGCTGCCGCAGTAATGTAAATGTTGAATAGACAAAATTCTTGAAGTTGATGTAGTCAGAACTTAGGTCCTTCAGGCTTAAGTCCTTTGATGACCACTCTAGTCTCGCTTCAAACTCATCCAACCTCTGATTAAGTGTCTTCTCCAGTGATACTTGTGTTTTAAGAACTTCAAATATGTTTTCCATACTGAGATGTTCTTTAAGTATTGTACTCAACTTGAAGTTTGTAAGAAAAGTGGTAGCAGCCTATGGCAGGTATTTAATTTATTGCATATATGATATTTTAGTTGATACTTAACAAATATTAAAACTGTACACATTGAATAACTAAAATAAATAAATAAAATTACAGAGATGCACAAAATTTAGTTGTTACTTTTCAAACCTACCCGAAAAAAAACTACTTTGTGAAGTTTTATTACAAAAAAGGGAAAAATGCGACTCAAGCCACGAAAAAAGTTTTTGAAGTCTATGACCCTAACGTAGTATCAGTCGGGTGGGCCGGGAATTTTGATGTCAAAGATGCAACTCGCTCTGCTCGCCCTCATCCGGATAAAGTCGATGCCATTTTTGAAAAAAGTAAAAATATCGAAATTTTAGTAGGTACATTTTTTATTCATTTTTTATTTTACAACAATTAAAATACATACTAAGTAAAGTTCATAAGTACAGTGCAACATAAACTTATATAAGATGTTTCTGCACACTGCAGTTCGCCATTTTTCGAGCGCAAACATTTTAATATTATTTAGAGTAAGAAGTAGTTCGCTCGTTTTTATAAAAATAACATGAGGATGAGTTGTAGTGGCTATTTAGTTAGAGTAATATACAGGTGTTTGGAGGAAATATTATTTCATATTTTTGGAATATACATATGGTAATTACATTACAAATAGTTAATATGTTAGTTTTTAGTTATATTATGTTAGTTGATTCAAAAAAGGACAGTTGTTTGCAAAATTTGAAAGTTGAAGAATGCGGATTAAGAATGGGTGAGTTAACCGTCAAACGCCTTTTTGTACGCCGATGATCAAGTTATTCTTGCGTCGTCGGCAGCCGAGTTGCAAATGATGGTTACATTAATGAACGGATCGTTAAAAGAAAGGGGTATGAAAGTGAACGCAAGTAAGACGAAGGTTATGGTTTTTGAAAGAGAAGAAAGTAAAACGATTTGTGAAATAAGAATAGAAGGGGAGTTGATCGCGCAAGTAGATGAGTTTGTATATTTGGGCTGCGTATTTAGCAGGGATGGGAGATATGATAAGGATATAGAACGACGAGTGAATGCAGGAAATAGAGTAAATGGGGCCTTGCACTCTATTGTGAAGAGTCAAAATGTGTCAAAAAAGGCACGTATGGCAATTCACAATGCTGTGTTGGTTCCTACTTTAACGTATGGTAGTGAAAGTTGGATGTGACAGAAGAAGCACGAGAGTAGAATAAACGCAGTAGAAATGCGGTCGTTAAGGAGTATGTTAGGGCTGAATCTGAATGACAGGGTAAGAAATTGTGTAATAAGAGAAGAGTGTGGTTTGCAAGATGATGTTGTGACCAGGATTAAGAAAGGAATGCTTCGGTGGTTTGGTCATGTGGAAAGAATGAATGAGGAAAGAGTGACAAAGAAAATTTATGGTGCCGAAATGAATGGCAGAGTCGGAAAGGGACGTCCTAGGCGAAAATTTACGAGTATAGACCAAATTGGCGATTTATTGAAAACGGGCCAAATTAGGAGTACCCTTAACCGACGAGCATGTATGCGTAGGTGTATGGATGTGAAGGAGGCAAGAGAGGTGTGTCAGGATCGTGCCAAATGGAAGTCTGTAGTCTCTGCCTACCCCTCTGGGTGACAGGCGTGAGTGTTTATGTATGTATGATTCAAAAAGTATGTTTTTAATTTGTATTTAATATAAACATTACAGTGTTAAAAAATAATTAAATTAAATCTGAACTGCAAAGATACTAATGAAATAACAAATTCTATAACAAATAAAAATGTAGCAACTTCTGTAAAGTATTTTAACGAGCTAGACATTTATTTGTGAAATTGTATATTATTTTTTCAAATGTAAATTAATTTAATTGAACTAATTTTAAAGGGTTTTCCGCGTTTAATTTAACTTTTTAATTCACGACGTTTCGGGTTCTTTACAGCACCTATGGTCAGGAGTGGCGACAGAGCTGACATGGGTGCTGTAAAGCACCCGAAACGCCGGGAATTAAAAAGTTAAATTAAATGAAATAACATCTGTAATATCTGTATAGTGTTCACGTAAATATAAGAAATCAAAATGTAAATTAACTTTAAATAAGAATGTAAAGAGTAAACACAAATAACGTAGGTAATTCTGATTCCAAAACAATTTACCCTTCATAAGGATATATTGGAAGCCATGCCCGATGTAAAAAAGTAATAGGTGTGCTAGACGTCTGATATTAATGCAATTTTGTTATACTCACTTTTAGCTTTCTGGTTCCATTAGCATATCATATTGCCAAATTTAAATAATTTACGTCCAATATTTTATAAAACTTTAAACAACTGTGACTACAATAAAAAGAGACACAGATACAGAGGTAACTCTACAAATGTTCCAATTTTGATAATTTTTGTATTAACCAGTATTAATGATGTCCCTAAATCGAAGCCCACACGAGCGAATCCGCAGGTTTTGCACTATAAATTATTTTTTGAAGTGTTAATTAAATGGTTTTCAATCCTCAAATAATATTTACTCATAGGATAAAATACAACATAAACAAATTAAAAATAACATTAATATATATAGTTCCATTCACTTTTATACTTAGTAAAATTATAATTTATTTGAAAGTTAACTTTTATCTGACGATTGATGAATCAGCAGGAATACATTAGGTCGATATTTACTTTAACAAATGCACTCGTAATACATAAAATTCGGCATACTTCAGAGGTATGAAATTTCACATCAAAAAGTTTCTGCAAATGAAGTGGCTGACAACTGTTCTCATTTATCCACAGCAACAGGCACTTCAACAATGGATTCTGTCTGGCGGTGACCAATTTCAGTCAGTGTTTCAAAAGTACAAAAGTTTTCGTGAAAGTATTCTTTTTATAATTATTATTGCTGGTAAGATTGTAAAATAAGCTTTATTATATTAAAATGGAACACCTTATAGACGGAAGGCCTTGATGTCTTGGTCTAAAATTTTCGCTATGGTGCTGAATGTCGGTTCGAATTTCACACGGAACAAGTATTAGCAGGTTTATAATAGAGATATAACGGATATCCGTTAACTATCCGGTCTTTGGTCTATCCGGCCTAAAATTACTATCCAGCCGGATACCGGATTTTAATAAAAACACAAAATAACAAAAGTACTTAATTTATGTCACAACAAATATAATCAGTAATCACAAAATGTTCACTTTAAAACTTTCAAAATTAGTACTTGTACTGCGCTAAGGCACAGAATAAATAGTAGTACTATGTAGCTAAGGGCAAATTATGGTGAATAAATACTAATTTCTCTGCATTGAAAGGTAACAAGCGGTTTCGCCTGTCTTCATAAACAAGACCAGCTTCAGAAAATAACTTTCGCTGTACACACTGCTGCAGGGTGCTGAAAGATATATTTTGGCAAACTTTGATAAATTTGGGTATTGTTTAGCAATACCTGCTCACCAAATATAAAGGTCACGATCGTGAACAGTTTGCGCTGACTTTACTTTTCGCTTCTTGCGATGCACCAAACGGCAATGTTCGGCAGAATATCCGGCGGCCAAACAGCTACCCGTTTCATTTCTAGTTCATAATATTAATTATTTAATTAATAATTGTTACGGGTCTGGATGTTTGTCCAAGAGCAATGTATGGATGTAAAATAGCACCATGATACGGGAGCCTTAAATATATTATTTACTTTTCTGAATACAATTTAAAATTGAATTAAATTTTTTATTGTCATTCATGAAACATTAATTTCTTTAAAGTTAGCACTTATCTTTCGGGTCTAAGTGTCGCATAATTGCGAATCCCTTACACATTCATACTTGTAGGTAACCTAAGTGTTAGTGTCGGGATCGTCCCAGAGTTTAACAATTTACAGGTTGATGAGGACTATAACGTTACTTAATGGGATATTTTAGCCGTAGTTAACATAGTTTCTGTTAGATTAAGCACTTAATTTGTTCGCTTTAGATTATGCGAGCTGCTCAGCACCAGTGCTGTAAATATACAGTATATTATGAGACATGTTGGTATTCGAATTGCAAGGGTTGTGAATTACTTATATTGTTTAAGTCTAAGTAAATACAACAAATTAACCTATAATTAATATACGATCGTATTATAAAATATATCTTAATATGAAATAAATATCAATGCTTGATAATATATTTTTATCCTATTATATCACATTATAAATGATAGATCTGAATTTGATACATATTATTTTTGCAGAATAATAGCATTCACGAAATATAAATTATGTGTGGTATGCACCACCAATTATATAATTGTTAAGTATATAATATGTAACAACTTTAAATTTTTATCTATCTATCTATCTATCTATATATTATATATATATATATACATATATATATATATATATATATATATATATATATATATATATATATATATATATATATATGTCGGAGCCAACTAATTATTTCGATACGTTTGAATACTGAGTCTGATATTGTACTTAACCGGATCTACAGGGTTTTAGTTACATGTTGTATAAATATAGCGACTTTATTAATTTCATTAAACGGCACGGTTTATTTGAACAGCGCCGTTTTGACCACTTGATGAAATTTTTTGTGTCTTTAATTAGGTTCCTGGGTGATTTAGATTCACAATTAGACCCTGTAGATGGCTTAGTTGTTGGGATTCAGAAATCATCCATGCGAACTGACTTCCTATTTAAGAGTTCTAATCTAATCAAACCTAGTGATATTAAAAAGGACACTAAGAATTACCTTAAAACTTATTTTACGATTTTTTCGTATTAAGTGTCTGCGCATTAAAACTCTTAGTGGAAATAACAAACCTAGCGATCCGATGTCGATATAAATCTTAAGTATTATTTTGTCCGTTTAGGTGCAGTAAAAACTTGAGGTACTGTCGTCATCAAGTGTCCGTTGGATTGCGCTGCCGTCAAAAGGTTCTAAAAATTTCGCAATATGACGCAATAAA